TTTTTTGCCTTTCTTTAAGATCAGAACAGTTTGTTTTGAATGATTTTAAAAATGTTGAAATTATTGATGTTGCATTTTCTAATCACTTATGTTTCACTTGACTTCTAGCTTTAACACAGAAGAATCGCGGCTGAACTGGAATAATTATCATGAGCTCTACAGATGCGATCGTGATGGGCGTTTTCAATGCGAAGTTTTGATTTTTCATTGTAAAAATACACGGAAAATATACAAAATTTCGTAATTTGTAGGTGAAATCTCTTCCTGGATTGGGTACAACAATTGACGTTATATTGTTAAATGGCACATTGAAAGTTAGTGACATCATCGTATTGACGGGTACTGATGGTGTAATTATTACGCAGATTCGCGAGCTCCTAATGCCTCAGCCTCTAAAGGAATTGAGGGTCAAAGTATGTTGTTCCATTTTTCCTTTACATTATTGTGTTTGTAGCGTAGCTTTAAAAAATTTGACTAAGTAAATTGCTTAAATTAGCCAGGTTGTATGATACGATAATAGTTCGTTTTGTCAAGATTTGTTGTGACACACTTGGGAAGGGCGTAGTTCGTCGGCGAATTTCGTTTCTTAATGTGTACTTTACAAATACATTTTCAGAATGCCTATGAGCACTTTCAAATGATCAAGGGAGCACAAGGGATCAAAGTTCTCGCAAAAAATCTGGATAAAGCGCTTGCTGGCTTGCCAATTTTCGTTGCTAACCGAGAAGACGAACTTGCGGTACTCAAGTATGTTCTTTTTTCTCCTGACTCTACAGTCGCGTTTATATTCTCTGGTTTCCCAGACATGTTATAATGTTTCATGTTTAACATGATTTTTGTTAAAGAACAGTATGTAGTGTTTTTTCGTCTTCCTTCTTGCTTCCTTTCCTGTGCGCCGTTCCGTTTCCCTTTCTTTCTTCTCTTTTTATGCGTTTTGTGCTGTGTAACAGCGTTACAAAATGCATATTGTCACGGGGTTGTCTGTGTGTGTGTTTGTGTATGTGTGTGTGTCCCACATTTTGTCCCGCACTTTCAGTTCGGGAACCACAAAAGCTAGGCGGCTGAAATTTTGGTATAGTATTCTCCGCCAATGGGTGACGCGGCAAATTTAAATTCAGCCTTCCCTTACCCGCGGGTAACGCGCACGGCCCCGTGGAAGTTTTTTACGGCTAAATTAATATCTCAGGAACCACAGAGTCTAGGAGGCTGGAATTTTAGGGTAATGACTCCCTACCCACGCTCAACCTTGCCCACTCAAATTCAGCCTTCTCATACCCGCGGGTAACACGTACGGCGCCGAGAAATTTGTTTACGGGTAAATTAATATTTCAGGAACCGCGGAGTCTAGGAGGTGAAATTTTAGCATAATGACCCCCTGCCCACTCTCAACCTTGCCCACTCAAATTCAGCCTTCCCTTACCCGCGGGTAACACGTACGGCCCCGTGAAAGTATTTTTACGGGTAAATTAATATCTCAGGAACCACGGAACCTAGGAGGCTGAAATTGAAAATCATTAATAGGCAATCGTTCGATGGGCTGAATTGCACAAAACGCATGATCGCACCGGC